TTGAATCCTACTAAGCCATGTTAATGAAAAAATTTGCCATGCTTTAAGTTCCATTTTAATCGTGAGCAGAGGAGGATCATATTATGTTACTTTAACTGGTGCTAACCCTTTAGAATACCCTCTTATCTAATCCAATTGCACTTACATGGAGTTCTGTATTATTCCCCTCTTTCTGTAATTCTTATTGTAGCAATTAACAGTGGATTATTTGTCCAACTTCTAAATCTGCTGCTATATGAAATCTAAAAGTAAACCCAAAGCCTAAGGAAGGAGGCATTTGCCAGAGATGAGTGGCAGGAGCCAAACTTCCAACCCTTTCTTATCAACTACCTCTCTACCATTTGTTTATATTATCCTGATTTGCCAAGACAATATTTTATTCTGTTCTAATCCTTTATTAGACTTCCAATCTACTAAGCTTATCTGCACTTTTTAAATTCTGAAACCACAACTTGGGTCCAATAATATGTATAATCCTCATAATACAGCTACTTTCCAATTACTTTTGACCTTTTGTTGTGTATGTTTCTTTAATCCTAAAATTATGATTTCCAGTTTGCATCACCAAAGTTCTTTGTATAAATCAAACAAAGAAAGGGAAAAATTTGAATAAACCTATCTATTTGAGAATGATAAACAATGTTGCGAAAGCAAGTAAATCTGGTCTTTATTATTGCCTTTGGGAAAACTTTCATAATGAAAATATAAACACAGATGTTAAAAAGTGGAAGGGCAGAATAAGTTATTACTAGTGTATTATTTAGAGAGTTAATATTTGAAATTATGTATTTCTAAAAGCATTGTTACTCTGAAAATATAGTACTCACACTTGTCCTCAGGCAAGTCTGAGGTAGTTATCTTAAAATAACATGCATGTTCCTCTTTGTGGAAGAACAATGCATTTATAGCAGGGCAGAGAATTTATCACCCTCCAGTTAGAACTGGGCTAGATTCCAGTTTCCCCTATCTGCCATGCTGAGTGGGCTGAGAGGACTACACCATCTATGCTATTCAGGTAGTCTTTGATCACAACTGGGATCAGAACCTCCATCACTAAATGATGTAGTCAGTTAGTGAGTTGTGCCTGATTTTACAACCTCGTTTGCGGTGGTCATTAAATGAATCAACACAGTGGAACAACCTGCCTCCAGAAGCTATGAATGCTTCAACACTGGAAATTTTTAAGAAGAGACTGGACAGCCATTTGTCTCAAATGGTATAGGTTTCCTGTCTGAGCAGGGGGTTGGACTAAATGACTTCCAATGTCCGTTCCAACTTTATTATTATTGTTATTATTGTTATTGTTATTATTGTTATTATTATTCATCGCACAGTCAGCCAGATGTTCAGACTGGATTTGACATTTTTGTCTACCTATCAAGTCCTTACCAAGGACCTGGGATAGGCAGATGTCGATTATTATTATTATTGTTATTATGGTTGTTGTTGTTGTCATTATTATTATGCAAATCCAACTTCCCCCATTGACTTTCTTTGTTGGAAGCCCCCTCGGAAGGTTGCAAATGCTGAACACGTGATCCCAGAATACTGCAATTGTCATAAATACATTGCAGGTTGCCAAGTGCCCAAATTTTGATCATGTGGCGATGGGGATGTTGCGATGGTCATAAGTGTGAGGACTGGTCATAAGTCACTTTTTTCAGCACCATAACTGAACAGTTATTAAATGAATGGTCATAAGTCAAGGACTATTTGTACACCCAGTATACCTCCAACAAAGTATATCTTCACCTTGCAGATCTTCACTCAGCCCTCAAGAAAGCCAGCAATGATGGGTGAAAATTAAGGAGATGGAGAGAAATAGAAATGGGGGTATCAATAAACAATTGAATCAGGCAGGTAACCTTTAATTTGATCGGCAGCACAATTTGAATATTTAGGGAGCAACTTGGAGATGGCAAAGGATGGTTAAACAATGTTGATCCATGGAGGGGAGGGGAAGGGAGGAGAGGAGCTTCCTTGGAATTGGGTAGGGCTCTGTTTCACAAATAAGGAACATGGAAGATTTAAAGAAGACAGTGGAAAAAAACAATAAAGGCACAACCTTTCTCAACTTAGTGCCATCTAAATCAGACATGTCAAAAACAAGTCCCGGGGGCCGGATATGGCCCGCGAAGTGGTTTCATGTGGCCCGCGAAGCCATCCTGGAAACAGTGAGGGAACGGCCCCCACTGCCTTGGCCCTGGCCAGCCAGGAACCAATGTACAATTTTGTGATGGCCATCTATGCTGAAAGGCATTCAATCTTAGCTCCACAAGACCGTCTGGAAACAGTGAGGAACCAGCCCCTGCTGTGTCGGCCCCACCCCCTGGGTGCATGCTGGGGAGGTGTCACCCTTTGTGAGGAATGAAGAAATGCACCATCGCCTGGAAGTGGCCAGCAAATGGCCCTCGCCTACTTCATATATCCAGCTTGATGGGCTCTGGTGGAGGGGTTTCAGCAGGCAGTGAGGTTCCTCCAGTGGACCATGCCTTGGCACTTGCCCTGGTCCCAACCCCTTCTGCCAGAGACCCTCAGACCTGTCCCACTCCTGCCCAGGCCCCCACAGGCATCCTTGACACGAACGATGTAGAGCTGGCCATGTCCACCCAATAGGCCACACCCACTCTGTCCACACCCATCCAGTAGACCACACCCACCCTGGCCACACCCATCCAGACCCCTAAGGGCAACTGCAATGCTGATGTGGCCCTCAATGAAATTGAGTTTGACACCCCTGATCTAAATGAAGTCAAACTAAACTTTGTAAGGATTATGGAAAATCAAATACTCAATTTTCTTCAATATTTCAAGTTGACTGCTGCTTTCTGAGTCAGGATGAAAATTTATTTTGTCCATAAACATAAGGGAAAGCTCTGGAAAATAATCAAATTGAATGCAGTGACCTAGAGAAATATTAATTATTTTTATCATTAGATCAGAGGTAGCATGCACATGGTGAATGCATGAAGCCCCATCTTAATTCCAGTTAATGGATTTCTTGTACAAGAGAACTATCTGTGACTCAAAAGAACTGAGCACTGTGAAAGAATAGCAACTACAGCTGGGCACTGATCAGATTCAGTGTAAAACTCAACTTCTTACTTTCACAGTAACAAATACATAATTCAGAAAAGTTCTCCAATAAAAAAGAAAATATTGGTCTAAGTGGATAAGATTTTTTTCCTGTAGCTTCAAGAACTTGTTTTATTCTTAGCGGAGAATGCAAAAAGGAGAATACAAAAATTCACCATCAACTCATTTAAATACACTTAAACAACTTCATATTACAAAATAGCTGTAAATTATTTATAGTGTGTGGCTGATCTGTTAAACACCTCTCCCTATCCTCCTTTCTACCATTGGGGCAACAATCTACATTGTGATGGTCTTTGTTTCATGCCATCAAATATCCTATAGACCAGTGGTTCACAAACATTTTGGCCTCAGAACCACTTTACATTCTTAAAATGACTGAGGACCCCAAAGAACCCAAAGTTTATGTGGGTTATATCTACCAATAGGTAATGTAGTAGAAATTAAAACTGAGAAATGTTCAAATATTTATTTGACTTCATGAACCCACTGAAAGGTCCTTGGGCTCTTCTCTCCACCATTCAGTCAGAACTGAAAAAGTTTTTTTGGATGAGAAGTGAAAATGTCTTCAAAGAAAAAAAAAACCAAAGAAAATCCAATTGACTTTTGGAAATCACTTTTGGGGTTTCTTAAGGGGCTGCAATTTATTCATAAGCCTTCAGAATAGACGAAGTTAAAACAATTACCGACAACATAAATTATCTTCCATACAAGTTGATTTAGTATTTCCTGTTGATACAAAGTTAATTTTTTGGAACATTATTTCCCATTATCTTAAAAGATATCAGGGTAATGTATTGTAACAAACAATTCTGGCTTTCTCATAACTGACATTGAATTTTAGCAGCAAAATTATCAATTTCGAATGGGGAGGACGGAATCATCAGTATTTTCCAAACTAAACTGGCTGCTTAAAGAAGAGGGATAACAAAATATCAATACATGAAATTTAAACATTATCCTATTGCTCACAAGATAAAGATAGACGATAGCCTATTTCCTTTTGTCTCTTAATGTAAGCTGCTTCTCTTTGGAGCTTGTTATGAGATGTGGAACTTAAGTGCTTACTGAATCTTTGATTTGGGCAAGCAGTGCCAAAAGGTAGGGAAGAAAGGGGGGAATTTTAGTTTCTACGCTTGGGCTGGGAAAGGGAAGTGGAAAGAAAGAGCAGATGGCTTATAAAGAAACACCTAGGGAAGGAAATTGTGGTTACTGTGACAGTTTTGGAAAACTCTGGTTTTTGGCTCTATAAATAGGAGCAGTTTAAGGAACATGGTGGCATTCCTCTTCTTAGGCATGACATCAGAGCTGAGTTCTCTGTTGAATGGTAGCAAGTATTATCAGCACTACCAGATAACTTTTTTTACATTGCCAAGCTTTATTTGTGCATTATCACATCTAATTCATTCATTCATATATTTCTTAATTTTTAGATCTACACCATCTTGCCACCACTGCAACATGCAAAGACTGTACTTCCACAGTTCCTTAGCTGAAATTATGCAGCCCCCAAAACTGGTTTCCTTATGGCCAATTTGGGATTTTCAGCACATTTGTTTCTCATAATGAACTTCTTAATGGGATGATTTTTATCTGCTTTTAGTGCCTGAGTTTTCATCAGTTTTTCCTCATTGAACTGCTCCATATTTAAATAGTGGCTGTGTTGTCAAGGTGCTTGACCTTGAAAGGGAAGCAAGCTCGAAAGAGGGGGGAAAGGAAGAGGGAGCCCAGAGCATTAAATATTTAGGCATTCAGAGAACATGATTCCTGAAAGGCAGAGATGTGGTAGAGTCTGGGAAAACATGACCTGCATGCCAAGGGAAAGGCTTCATGACTTACTGATGAAGGGAGAAGCATTCGCTGAAAGGGGCAGAAGACAGTGGAAAAAAATTCTCTTGACATACCTTGTCGGTGTAGACGAAGAACAGAATCACCACCGTGAGCTCCAGCACAAATATAATTAACAGCATGATAAAAAACTGTCAAGAGAAGAGGGAGCGGGAGAGAAACAAAAGTCCAGAAACATCAAAATCTGGTTTGTCTTTCTGACACTGAGCAACACACAAATCCATATACAAAAGGACTGGGCTTATGGCTAGCTTTGGTTGGGGAGAAAAACCTGCATCTGGGTAGTACCACTTTAAATGCAGGTGGAGAATCCACTTCTTGGATGTTCTTCCACACAGGAAAACTAGCATGCCAAAGAGAAAGGCTAGAGTACAGCTTTTCCTCTTGCCACACCATAATTTAAGTGAACACTTTTAAAAACAGTAGCATCCAGTGATTTGATCCTTACCTGTAGACTGAAATGGTGCACCTCAATAACTTCAGTGAGAACTAGGATGAGGTTATCTAGATGCGGATCAACATTCCCCTATCTAGTGGGTTTCCTCCTGATTTCCTATAATCCCCAGAGTTCCCAGCAAGCATGGTAGCCATACTGATTAGTAATAGCAATAGCACTTAGACCAGTGGTTCTCAACCTTTTTAATGCCGCAACTCCCAACCGGTCATAAGTCGGAGGACTACGCAATTGGTCATAAGTCGAGGACTACTCAACTGGTGCAGCACCATTTGCAGAATGGGACTTTTGGCGGGCTCAGCAGGGCAGAAACAGCCTGGACAATTCCTATTGGCTTTTGAAAGCCAATAGAATTAGACTCTATTCGAGAGAGTCTATTCTATTGGCTTTCAAAAGCCAATAGAATAAAAGGGAGTAGCATAGCTAAGGAAAAGGGGAAAAAATGGCGGACTGCGTTGTTTGGCGATCCCCGTGAAATGGTCGTTCAACCCCAAATGGGGTCCCGACCCACAGGTTGAGAACCACTGACTTAGACTTATATACAGCTTCATAGTACTTTACAGCACTCTCTAAGCAGTTTACAGAGTCAATATATTGCCCCCAACAAATGGGTCCTCATTTTACCAACCTCAAAAGAATAAAAGGATGAGTTAACTTTGAGTCGGTCAGAATCAAACTCTACGCTGTGGGCAGAGTTAGCCTGCTGTACTGCTTTCTAACCACTGCGCCACCATAGCTCTTCAAATTACCTTAGATAATTTCTAAAATAACAAATATGCAACCAAAGACACATGGTGTAAACTCCCTATACATAAGATAATTTAAAATATGCATCTGATATCGAAATAAGCTTAAAACTATAATGATAATTAATCTAGAGACAAGATCAGATATTAAAAACTAGCTATGCGTATCATTCTGCTGATTTGTTTTATTTTGCTTTTTTTGGGGGGGGGAATGAAAAACAGTTTCGAGCTAAATGGATGAGCCAAGTATTTTTCTAACACAAAAGAATTTCCTTTATTTATTGAATTTATATTTTTCCTTTCCACTAACAATTCTGCAACACACGTAATACTTTTGCCTCCAGCAAGTTTTCTGCTTAAAATCAGTATACATGTTGTTCTTTTTCCCCTCCAGGGAAAAAGGTATTTCAAGAAACAGCTACAGGATGGCAGTGACAAAACACCTTAAGAAAGAATTAAGCACCCTTGCTTCTGTTTTTCCACCACTCAGCTTTGTAGAAGGTGGGATTTTTTTTTTTTAAAAAAAGAAGTCAATGAAAAGATACAAACAACTGTACAGTATATATGAATGGGGAGAATATTGTTTAGATCATTAAAAATGAACTAATTCATATTATCCAGGCATATAAATATATATGTTAACCAGAAAACAATAAGAGATTTATATTTGCATTATTCCTAATTTTGGAATACCATTTTCCATTCAAAATTTACACAGAAAAATATATCCATTACAGAAAATTAGCACAAAAGTGGATGTATATTGGAGGAAATCACAAAATATACAAAACAAAAATGAATTTTAGAAAAAATGTATACATTAAGTGAAATATGTACTGAAAAGTGATGAATACAGACACAGGAATAGGACAAAATTGCTGTAAGGATGGAAAAAAGAGAGAAATAGAGGGAACTTTTATTTGAAATTATCTTGAGACTGACCATACACACACACACACACACACACACACAGAGTTTTGTACTACATAGGGATTTTTTGTTTTAATAAGTTTAAGATTCAACTAAGAAGAGGTTATAATTGCTAGTATTTTAGTTCTCTGTAAGAATTGCATAATCCTTTGGCTTCACAATAATGAACTATTGAATCCGTTTACATGTTTACACATCATATCTCTGTTTTATAAATCATATGCACCTTGAAATCAGTTTCATTGTAACTTTTTACTTCCTGGTGAGTTCAACAGTGATAGAAAATTAACGGCTTGTTAATATTTGTTGACTTACAACTCCCAGCATTCCCAGCCAAGAATGAGCAATGGTAGAAATTGTAGTTCTGCAACGGAATCCCATCCTGTCTCTAAATGATTTCATGGAGTTGAGCAAAATCCTGCTTCCTGTTTGTTTCAAAGCCTTTCTAAAATGCTTTAAAAGTAGACGCAAGCTGGATTATTTCTATGGCAATACAGCCAAAACTGACTTCCAGAATAAAAGACAAAATAAGTTTAAACAACAGTGATAATAGATGGTAATGAAGTAGAACAGAATGTGACACCCCCGGTTGCTAATAGGGACCAATAATTCCTTAAATGTGACATTTGCAGATCACCAGTTGCCTATTTGCTTCTAGATTCCATTTAAAGTATTAAGATTGGTTTTCACTCTGAAGGGTTAAGGCCAACAAGTAACAACAACCAACAAGCTGAATTGAGCTTTGTTAAGAAAACAGGTTTTTCCCATTCATGTTTAGGCTGCTAACAGCTTTTACAAATTTATTTGGTTAGCTTGAATATGACTGCTTAGTACTTTAAATATTTAATAGTAAGTGCAGAGTTGGTTTTTTTTTTAAAAAAATGTATATTATCTTTTAATGTAAATGTGGCCTGGGCAATATCTATTTGTCATTTGAAAGTTCCAAAAATCCCTTCCTTACCAGGGCAGCCTGGTTTGGCTTCTCTCTTTGTCACCTGCCCTCATCTCGCCCACAAAGTGGCATAGTCTGTAAGATGACGATTATCACAATTTCACGAATGAGAGTTGACTTGAACCTGTACTGCCCTGCTTTGATAACAACATTAATCACTGCACCATGCTGGCTCTCACTATTTTGTGTGCCACATGTGTGATGTGCAATTTTCTCTCTCCTCGTCTTCCTTCTCTCCCCCCATAGATTTGTTTACTAAAATTAGACCGAAAATGCAGTGCACAGAATAGATAAATCCATCACAGTAGGATATATTGTAGGAGGAGTGGCAGAACCTGGGGACGGAGTCAAAAGAGAGATGAACCTAGAATCCTTATGTAGCCATAACTGGATTAAGTCCAACCTCTCCTGAATTCTGTGGACCCCTATCTAACTTCAAGCAGGTGCTAACTATTGGTTGAGAAGATTCCTGTGCATAGGAATGTGTTTAGCAATAAGTCAATTTAATTGGATATTCATGTGTAGACCTGGTCTTTCACGCCTGACAATATGGAATAAGGAAATAGTATGGGAGAACGGCTCTCTGTTATTTACAGCTTTAATTTCTCCCTTAGGCAATTCAAGTAATACAGGGATAACAAAATGAATAAATTCCCCCCCCTTCCGTTTAGCAACAGTGGAAGTTATGAGCAAAGGTGAGTTAATCAGATTCTTAATTTAGCTTTAAAGAATCTGAAGGAATTCCATATTTGGATCTCCCTTAATCCTGTTCATCCTGTACATCTCACAGTCTACGCTCAGCCCACCACAGTTCTGCTGAGAACACTTTCTTCAGCTCATGTCCCTAATATTTCTGCTCATTTCTGATAAGCAAGTCACTTTATTTCCATAGAAATAATACTGGAATACTTCCATTGGAAAGAAAAAAAATGTGTCTTTTAAAGGCCTCACTTAACTACAATGCTGCCCTGAAGCATCTTTTTTTAAATTCAGTTAACACACTTGCATCCCTCAACCCACCAAGTCTAATCCAAGAAGCTGATTGCTGTCTTCATGTCCTGATTTACCATGAGTTGATCAGGTTTAAACCAGTTGGATTTGACCAGATCTAATTTACAATAGCATGCTTCCACAAGCTTCACTTTAATTGGATCCATTCAACATAGACTACCAGATCCATCATCAAAAGAGATGCATTATTAATTTGCAGTCTTATTCTTCAAGCTTATTGGAAAGCAATCTACATGGACTTCAGTGAAATGACTCCTCAGTTGAAACATTTTTCCTCCTATGTTTTATAATTTCATAGATTTATTAGGGAAAGGATCAAGTGTTGCAGAATTCTCCATAAGAATATGCCCCTTGTCCATCTAGCTTAGCATTATTCTCATTGGCTGGCAGCAACTCTCCCAGGCTTCTGAATAGAAACTTCCCAAATCATACATTGAGATGCTCAGGATAAAATTTTGCATGCAGAAATTTTTGCTGCATGCAACGCTGGAAGGAAGGAAGGAATTGGTCTGCTTGACTACTTTATATCTCCTTTGAGTCCACATTTTTGACTAGTAATATTTGCAACTATTGTGAGAAAACTACCAACATGGACAGAAATAAATAAAGATACAAATATACAAAGATGTTTCCTTTGATGATGAAGTTGGCTGAAAAATAGCTTACTGATTCAACTGTGCCAGTTGCTAGAGGGGACAAAATACGATCAGCTGCATATGAAATTTTCTCCATATGCATAAATTGCTAGAACCGAAGTCAATCCAGCACTGGATTAACTCTTTATCTAACAGATTCACAGTGCCTTTGATTATATCTATTAATCTATTGAATTGCTGATTAATTAATTAATTAATATTTACACTGCATTCCTAATATTATAACAAGAAACTCCTTGTGTTTAGGAAGGCAGGATTGCTGTTGAGGACCAAAGGAAAGGAATGGGGGAGTTAATAAGAAACTGATATTCATAAGCTTGGAACAATGCTCAAAAATTGGATTTTTTTTAAAAAAAAAACCTCTGTAAAAACATTAATCTGA